GAGTCTCCTTCTATGGCACTCGCCTATCATCACATGATATAGCCTACCACACACACACATACACTCAATCACATTCACTTACTGTCACTAGGTCCATGTAGCCTCAAGGCTCGTGTGGCTAGTGAAGCAGCGGCTCAGCACTACATCATACGGTCCTCTGTGATATCACATCTCATCTACCCTCCAGCCACCTCCTCTGCATCACCAGACCAGCAGGCCCACATCCAGCCCGCTACAACTGTCCCAGCAGCTCTCCGAAAGAATCTGATGGGATCAGACACTCAAAGGCCTGTGGTCAAAGTCTGAGATAGGGATAGCCCACAATGGTCGAGTATTGTTGGAAAATGATTTTTAGCAGTGGTGTTTGAGCATACTGACCGTTCACTAGTCCCCCGTTCCCTTCGAACTCGCCTCCGCCAGCCCCCCCCCGTTGGAGAAGTCGCCGCGCTCAAGTAAAAAGTCCGTCAACAACCCATTCAGGTCATTCAGGGACTTTTCGCCCACTGTTTTTCAAAAACTATGTATGCGGACATACAGTACTACTCTTTTGGCGTGGTTTTTTGCATACTATATAGTAGGAAAGTATTTGATTTCGGATGGAGGGTGTGAGTTCCTTGCCTCACATTCACAGTCCTGACACAAAAACACCTTCTTAGTTTTTATTCATTTACTTTACATGAGAATTTGATATGGTTCCCATGTGTGAAGTGGAGTTCATATACAACCAGAAAATTTGCTTGCTGCACTGCAACTCATAAGTAAAAGCCACTTTCTCACAATAAGTGGCCTGTGTATTTTTCTTCAATATAGCTTGCAAACTTCATCCTGAATGTTTGTGGCCAATACGCACATAATAATTCTTTTTGCACTCTTTAAGAGGCAAAGTATTCTTCCCTTAAATCGTTATGAATATGCCACACGATCATCATGAAGGATCACTTTGGAGATAATCAGGGAAGCAGAAAGAAAGCCAATTGCAAGGAGATACGGCCCAGGAGAAAATAGAGAGATGCGAACGTGCAGCTAATTGGGACGTATGAGAGTGGAGAAATGAGGAAATATGAGGGAAGCAGAGAATTAGGAAGGGAGGGTATAAAGAAAGAGGAGAGGAGCAGGAGAAAGCAGAGGGAGGCGTATACGGGACCTTGACGACCCAGGTGGAGAGCATCTGTGCATTCTGGTGAGGAGAAGAGCATTGAGTGGAGAAGGCGATGAGATGAGAGAGGAATGACAGGAGGGATGTGTTGTCACCTCACTCAGGGCCCATCATCTGTCTTTCTACTCTCACTGAGCAACAGATTTTAACATGACACACACACTCTCACACCTTTACATTGTGCTTATGACACGCTGTATTAGAAAATACATGTACTTGTGCTCTTCTCTTTCTCAAACACACGCTGTAAATTCCCCATCAGGCCTTGGGAGGAGATGAAGACCACGTGCTCCTCAGAGCATACCAGAGATGATCATCTAGTAAAACCCAGGCTGTATTAGAGCTGGTCCATCCCAGGCTGAGACCACACAGATAAGAGGAAGACCTCCAGGGCAAAAGCACTGTTTCAGAGTCACTATCAAACAGTCAATCTCTCTGACATATCATCAATATTTTTGCCTCATATATGAATCATTAAATATACAATTTGCAATGCCAGAATCAGACATTAAGTAGTTTGTTCTGACAAAGATACGGCCTAGGAGAAATGAGAATGTGCAAGAAAAAAAATAATATACTATAAATTGAAAAATTGAAAATATATAAACATTATTTTTTGTTATTAAAAATGTTATTATAGTATACATTACATTATAGTATTATATTATTCTCTCATCTCTCTTAAGTGTGAAATGGACCTCATTGACTTTCCAGTCTTTTGTCAATTTTCTGTATATGAATATATATAGCATATAGATGACAAACTTTACATACACGCTAAAGGCTACACATTTTTATGTCATTAGATGTAAATTAATTGAGTACTACTGTACACATTATTGAATGTGCTCATTTATCAAGATTTTTAATAAAAAATAATAATTCTGTCGGCAAAGTGTACAAACAACTCCTCCCAGATGTCATTAGGGAAGCAATTAAACAGGAAATTTGATGGAAATATTTAATGTCTGCAGGTAACTCTTGGCGCAGCGATGGCATTATTGGTTGTTGATTAATCCATTCCCTTGTCTCTCCATACACTGACCTTGTTGCGGAAATTACAGATCAATAGCACGAAGTGGCGCTGTACATAACTCAACCAGTCACCGAGCTAATAAACACCAGGGCCAACCCCTGACCGGCAAATTAAAACCCAATCAGAGCGGCCCCAAGGGGCCCAGGAGAGAGTACAGCAAGGCCAGTGACTCACACAGACCTAGAGCTTTGAACAGAGGACTTAATCAGACACTGATTAGAGTGGCAATCAGAGCATAGGCTAATGTACAGCAGGGATGCTATAAGTGTAATTATACTTCCTGCAACGCTACTGAGGTGTATACCACAACTCACTGATATTTCTTGTAATCCCAGATTTTTCACATGTTTTCTGTCTTTTGAGGTTATGCTTTCGTTCTATATGACGCTTGGAAACAACTCAAATGGCAGTTTTCTTCCATAAACTGGATATTTTGTGCAAAGTAGGTGATACATAGCAGAATGGAGCCTCATACCTTTTTCCTCAGATGTTTCTCCTAAAATTCTTTATAGGATAATTGTTGGAGTATAGAAACAGAATGACAACAATTATGTATTACATATTGATAGGATGATATAACCAAGGTAATTTGAGAAAAGTTTGAGTTCATATACTGAAATCTCTGACTTTTGATTGCTGGCTTTGTTATCCTGAGAAATCTGAGCAAAGTTTGAGACATTGTGAACTTTTCTGAGACACTCAATGAGATATAAAAAAAAAAAAACTAGGGTCTTCAGGAAAATCATCTGAGAAGCAGGAACCTTAACTAAAGTCTCCATTTGCCGTCTAGGAGAAACAACTGAGATTTTAGAGATCTCATTTGTGATTTTCTTGGGAACACAGATACACAAACCTGTTCACCTATACTTTTAAGAACCTCCCATTGACTTCTGTTTTTCTTAAAGGGATACTCCACCGTTTTTTCATATTAAACTATGTTATTCCCTTAACTAAGACGAGTTGATACATACCTCTCTCGTCTCAGTACGTGCACTAAATCGTCTTGCGGCGAAACTTTGTTAGCACTTAGCTTAGCCCAGTTCATTCATTAGGATCCAAGCAGAGAAGCGACCAAAACCTCCACGTTTTCCCTATTTAAATACAGTTACACGAGTAGTGTAACTCGACCAAGTATGGTGACAAAAAAAAATTAAACGTTGCGCTTTTCTAAGCGTGTAAAATGGATAACTATAATGTATGGCGGAATAGCACTTGGGAGCATTTCGACTCGGCGCAGTAATATCATCATATCATCAATGAGAGGGAGAGGGGGAGAGGATTTTTCAGGAGTGATGATATTACTGCGTCGAGTCGAAGTGCTCCCAAGCACTTGCTATGGTATTCCGCCATTTATTATAGTTATCCATTTTACACGCTTAGAAAAGCGCCACATTTTATTTTGTGTCACCATACTTGGTCGAGTTACACTACTCGTGTAACTGTATTTAAATAGGGAAAACGTGGAGGTGTTTGGTCGCTTCTCTGTTTGGATCCTAATGAATGAACTGGGCTAAGCTAAGTGCTAACAAAGTTTCGCCGCAAGACAGCGATTTAGTGCACGCACTGAGACGAGAGAGGCATGTATCAAATCCGAGACTCAAGGGACAGGGTAATTGTCCTGTCCTATATTCTGTAGACAGACATATCATGTATTGCTAATGTCAAGACCATAAAAGGAGAAAGTGAGAAGCATTTGCTACCTTGCCCACTGTCGCCAGATAGAAAGGCCCAATCCTACTGCTGTCCCCATCATCAGGTCATCATTTCTCATGCAGATCCAGAGCAGCAAACAGGAAGCTGACAGGTCACAGGACCAACAATGCAGCACTGATAAAGACTGTCAGTGGCACTACAGTTTTACCATAAAGTGTTTTTAATCCAAGAATCTTAAACTGTTGCATATCACTTTTGTGCCACCAGCAGCAAATAGTAAAAACAAAAATGTTTTGGAAACACGTACCGCTTCTTCCATTATTCGGCCAAACCATAGACTGTATAAAAAAAAAAAAGAAAAAAAAAAGAAGAAAAAAAAAGGGCCAAACAAGCAATCCTGCCTCAAACTCTCGTCATTTGCAGAGAGCGTTCATAAAAAATAAAAATCTATCTATGCTTTACACTGCATCTGTGGATTATGTGAGCAATAATTATACTGTTATAATAAATCAAAATGATCTAGTCAAACATAAAATAACGCTCTTACAAGCACTGTGGCGGTATATATGATTTCTGATGGCAATCTTCATACTGATCTTGTTTTACCATGGTTAGATAAAACACTCCAAGGTAATAATAAAACGCCAATGTATTGCCATGGCATCAATATAAAACCCACGGTAGTACCATGATCATTTTTTGTTCGTGCAGTTAGCTGGACTGTCTGAAAATGGAGTAGGCTACAGTACAGTGTTGTTCATTGAGCTGTGTAGACGTTGTTCAGCCGCCAGAGGGAGCTCTCAGATCACTTACTGACCTCACAGTCCATCTTCTAATTCATAAATGGCTAATTCCAACCTATTTCTGTTTCGTTACAAATTATAAAATTAAAGTGGCAGTTTCATTGAATGAATCCCCAGAATCACTCATAAACATTTTCTACTTGAGTAGAACAGACCGTTAAGACGCTTGTGACTCATTGTTAAATCACCACAAAGTACCCTGCAGATTTCTGGTGCAATTATCTTTGCAAAGCTCGGTAATTGTTTTACAGTCTCATTTTAACAAAGAGAACTAAATTACTGCTTCTAACTTTTACATTTAATGAGCAACATTTAAAAATCACTCAAGTTACAAATAAGAAAAACAACAATGCATAATCAAATGTTATTTATTCGATATTTAAATCATACAGATAATAAAAACACTGGTTTAAGGCAGACTAGCAGCGGGCATTAGCTGCAAGATGGAAAGTAAGAACAAACCAGCTTAATGTTATACAGCATGATGAAAAAAAAGCAAAAAGCCAGAAAATGAAACCCAAATTGTGGAGCTGAAGCTCTACGATGCGAGACAATCCAAACCGATCACTCAATAAAAACTCTCATTCTCTCCATTTATCAGTTCAGCGCAAATGGAGACATAAATTCACAGTAAGTCTGTTTTTTCGGGTTCATGATGAAAATCTGCAAGTGTGGATGTGTAAATGTATGTGTGAGAGAGAACATGGAGCGTATTTGGCTGTTTTCCACATCAGTTTAGCATGAAAAAGTATCATTGGTCAAAAGTGCAAATATCATTCATAAGAAAAAAAACTTGGTAACTTAAAATTTAAATTGACCTTTTCTAAAGTGACCTTTTATCAGTACAACCATTGCTAAACTGTTGTACTACAGGATACAGCAGGAGGACATCACTAGCTAGACTACTACTCCGAATATCAATAACGTCACGCTAACACACCAGAGACGCAATCAATGTTCATCACCGCTAAGCCCTGGTAAGCTGATTAGAAATAAGTGTAATGGGTTTGTACTTAAAGCCAACACGAGCTTAGTAAGAAACATTCAGGGAAAACATTCAGTTGGGTCAACTGAGCACTGACCACGCTGGTTGGCCAACAAAACCCTTTCCCTGTGTTTTGAGAAATGCAACCTCGGTGCGTCCTTTGGTCCAAACTAAGGGAGGGTTTTAACGCCTCGGAGAAGCTTTTGTGAATCTGGAAAAAGTGTTAGCGACTGCGATTAATCTTCTTGCCGTTTCCGAAATCAAATCCACATTTAATTGCTTCTCTCACTCCAAGGCATGCACTGCTATGAAAACAATGCTGGGGAAAAATCACAACATGGTTTCGGTCCTCTGGAGAGCCCAACCTCCAGAAAACATACATTTTACACACCGAAACGAGAAAGCAGTGGTGCCTTTCGCAAATGGAGATAAAGCAAAAGATTGTGAGAGAAACAGTGTCTCTAGTCATTATCTCGACAGTCTGAACCCATCGTTTTGAACTTTATCTTGTCTTTCTACTATTTCTTTGTGTGTGGACATCAACAGAACAGAGGAGCGAGCCAGTAGAGGAGGAGCAGGTGATGGCTTGTGTGTAGCAGACCTCAGTGACGGGAAAAGGCCCCTGCAGAAAGAGTGATCTGTGGTTCTTTGCTGTGGAGAAAAAGGTTTAGGGCAGATGGAGGGACAGAGTTTTAGGGGAACAGAGGCAAGGCCAATATTCGGTTTCTGCTCCCCCTCAACAGGGGAAGAGACGCATGAGGGAGGGGTACAGTCCTGTTATCCTGGTCACCCGGTTTTCTTGGCCCAGGCCAGGTCATCGCTGCGTGGCTTCTGACCCGTCAATCTCTCGATCAACCACTCTGTTGTCCGCCAAAAACCCACTCTGTCCAGCGGGTAGTTCAACCACCCTGAGGGAGAGAATGAGAGAGAGAGAGAGAGAGAGAGAGAAGCAGGGGTGTCAGGCACAATGTTTATAAAGGTACATCAATGGCAGAGGCTCACTTAGTGTCGTAGGTGAGAAAAGACACTACCAAAAGGGACAGAACGCACTTTTTGACTTTTAAGTAGTTATTTATATGAGTGCAACTCTAGATCGTCAACTGGTACAAATTATAAGCAGAAAACGGTCTTAAAATGTTCCTTTTTATATATCTTTTTTTATGTAAATAATACAAATATTAATATTATTTAGCTAAAATGTATTATATTATTTAGATTTAGACTTAGATTTCTATTTCAAATAAGTGCGGTTAACATTCTATTCATCAAGAATCCTGGTTTCCACAAAAATATTAACCGTTTCAACTGTGATAAGAAATGTCAGCATATTAAAATGATTTCTGAAGGATCATGTGATACTGAAGACTGGAGTAATGACTGCTGAAAATTCAGCTTCACAATCACAGGAACAAATTGCATTTTAAAATACACTCACCGGCCACTTTATTAGGTACACCTGTCCAACTGCTCGTTAACACTTAATTTCTAAGCAGCCAATCACATGGCGGCAACTCAGTGCATTTAGGCATGTAGACATGGTCAAGACAATCTCCTGCAGTTCAAACCGAGCATCAGTATGGGGAAGAAAGTTGATTTGAGTGACTTTGAACGTGGCATGATTGTTGGTGCCAGAAGGGCTGGTCTGAGTATTTCAGAAACTGCTAATCTACTGGGATTTTCACGCACAACCATCTCTAGGGTTTACAGAGAATGGTCCGAAAAAGAAAAAACATCCAGTGAGCGGCAGTTCTGTGGGCGGAAATGCCTTGTTGATGCCAGAGGTCAGAGGAGAATGGCCAGACTGGTTCGAGCTGATAGAAGGGCAACAGTGACTGAAATAACCACTCGTTACAACCGAGGTATGCAGCAAAGCATTTGTGAAGCCACAACACGCACAACCTTGAGGCGGATGGGCTACAACAGCAGAAGACTCCACCGGGTACCACTCATCTCCACTACAAATAGGAAAAAGAGGCTACAATTTGCAAGAGCTCACCAAAATTGAACAGTTGAAGACTGGAAAAATGTTGCCTGGTCTGATGAGTCTCGATTTCTGTTGAGACATTCAGATGTTAGAGTCAGAATTTGGCGTAAACAGAATGAGAACATGGAACCATCATGCCTTGTTACCACTGTGCAGGCTGGTGGTGGTGGTGTAATGGTGTGGGGGATGTTTTCCTGGCACACTCTAGGCCCCTTAGTGCCAATTGGGCATCGTTTAAATGCCACGGCCTACCTGAGCATTGTTTCTGACCATGTCCATCCCTTTATGGCCACCATGTACCCATCCTCTGATGGCTACTTCCACCATGTCACAAAGCTCTAATCATATCAAATTGGTTTCTTGAACATGACAATGAGTTCACTGTACTAAAATGGCCTCCACAGTCACCAGATCTCAACCCAATAGAGCATCTTTGGGATGTGGTGGAACGGGAGATTCGCATCATGGATGTGCAGCCGACAAATCTGCGGCAACTGTGTGATGCCATCATGTCAATATGGACCAAACTCCCTGAGGAATGCTTCCAGCACCTTGTTGAATCTATGCCACGAAGAATTGAGGCAGTTCTGAAGGCAAAAGGGGGTCCAACCCGTTACTAGCATGGGGTACCTAATAAAGTGGCTGGTGAGTGTATATTACAATAGTAAACACTTATTATAAATTATAATAATAATATATTTCACAATATTATGGATTTTACTGTATTTTTGACCAAATAAAAGCAGCCTTGTTGAGCATAAAAAAAAACTTCTTTCAAAAACAAATAACCTTACCAAACCCAAACTTGTAAACAGTAGTGTACTATACATAATTGAAAAACATGCCATAAATTACATTAAGGTTAAAGAGGAAAAAAACTTTCAAACCACCCCATTTTAATTGATATTATAAATTATATATATATATATATATATATATATAGAGTTTATATATATATATATATATATAACAAATCAATGCTTAATTTTAAATGGAATACTTTGAAAAGGAAGTGAAACTGAAAAAAAGAAGAAAAAAAGGTGAAGCGCACAAGCTTGATGTGTAAAACCAACCAGACAAAATTCATTCCTTTCGCTGAATGACACACTTCTTTGAAAACTCACCAGCAAGAGAAAATAGAGAAATTCAAGAGAGAGAGAACAGTGAGAGGGCAAGAAAAGCAAAAAGGAGAGAGCAAGGACAAAAGAGCAAGACAGGAAGAAAGAGGGGAAGGCACAGAGAAAGACATCAAGAAGCAGTGAGACAGAAGCTCCTGGATGGCGATTCTCTGGGGATGGACAGAAGATCAGGCGCTAGCAGTAGAGTAATGTACACACTTACTGCTATAAATATGTAGCAGCACCCCACCCCCAGCCAGCCCGCCTCAATTCCACCACACACACACACACTTCTGTTGTGCTCACCGACATACATTCCATTGGGTTTTGACAGAAAACCATTTTAATAATACATGCACAAGACATTTAGACGTTTAACACGCAAAATGTGCACGACTAAGTTTAAAGTAGTGATACATCAATATATATATCAGCCAGGCCAATTAATAAGGCATTTGGCCATTTTGAGATTATTGGTTGATAATAATGCACACTTGAGTGATTAACATAAGTCTTTATCGCTCCACTTTGTCAGTTCTACTGACTGCTTTATTCAATGGATAGTAAATGTATTTATTTAAATGTGGAAAATGTAATGAAAATGTTTTGTGTTCATGTCATTTGCTTCAGTGAATTATATTACAGATACCAGAATTATATCGGGCATTGTCCACCCTGCCTTCTAGATATATCGGTATCGGTCGGTCAACCATTAAACTTCACACACAACTGATAAAAACTAGATTACGAAGACAGAAACAACTTTAATTTATTAATCAAGACTTTTTGCCTCTATCATGAAAAAAAATGACCATGATACTACTATACCATGTTTATAGGGTATTAGTATGGCTTGATGGTATAATATAAAAATATCTGTTATCATCTTATGTATGTGCTACAGTATTAAAAGGATGATTGTTTTCTGTCAGAGGAACATCTTTACAACCAACTACAATCAAATATCTATCTACAAATCAAGCCGTTTTCACACAGCAATATAGAAGGCTTTATTAATAAACCGCTACATTTCTATATACGGATTTATATACAGACCAATAAGGTTTGTTCTCATGCCTAAACTAAGTACAGTTGAGCTTCCGTTTACCATACCCAATGTGTCCTATGCATGTCGTGTCTCTTCAGAAGGCTTAAAGCGCAAACAAAATTCATATGGATCAAGTGGTTTCTTTATACATTTTTTTTAAAACATCCGTTTTGGTGGAATGGATTTTCAATCGGATTTCATTAAAGATATCTTCATTTCTGTCTTGAATATTAAGATAAGTCTTAAGCTTGGAATGACATAACAGAATTTGCATAACAGAAACTATCACTTTAATGGCCAAAAAGACATTAAAATGATCCGATAATCACAATTTTGTGCCCTATGTGCAAGTACAATGGTATTCTTTGAAGTACGATGGTACATGAATACGGTAATCATTCAATACCAATTGAAAGTACCATGGTATTACTTCCTGACACCATTACTGTACCATGGTACCGCCACAGTACTTTTTTCAGCAATCCCCGATTATGACATCACATGGTCATCCATTGCCCTTGTATCTTTGTATACATGTTCCTCGGTCACAGATCCGTGTGTACGTGTGTTTGTACCCTCTCTCTACAGTGACCCCTTTGGTGCAGGAGGAGAGCAGAACAGCTCATCATGTTTGTTTGATTTTTCTTCTTTGTCAAAACCACCCCCCCTTTGCGTAAGCCTATTTGTTAGCACTGACAGCAGGTTAGCATTAAATATACATGGAGGTTGTCAGCCACTGGCACACACAAAGGCAGGCCCCGGCCCCCGGGGACTTGGGCAGGGAGGGTGGAGGGGCAGGGCTCACGCAGAGAGAGACTCCCAAGTGTGCGCGTATGTGTATGTGCTTGCGAGAGAGAAAGAGAGAGAGACCCTTTCCTCTCCCTTCATCAGCGTCTCCCAGCGGGATCAGGGAGCAGCAGTGGAAAGGAAAGAGGGAGGGTCAAAAGGACCGGTCTGTGCTCTGGAGCATGCGTGCACACACACATCTGTCGTCCACTGGGGCACAGGGTGACGCACAAGCATCCGTGCTCCCCTCTCTCCCAGAGACGCAAGTCGCATACTGAGTGCTCGAGCTATCATGGGAGTTTAATGCCTTCATACACACACACACATACACAATTATGTGCAAACACACACAGCTGACTTTAAAAAAGTTATTTTCACCCACTCTTTACAGCTACTGGCGATGCAGGCCACGCTCCGTGGAAGAATCCTTGCCAGATACTGTAGGTTACCATGATCAACTACATAAAAGACTCTCAGAGGAACTTAACCTTCCTTTGAGTGAATCTGATCCAGTACGTATTACTGTTGTAAAGATGCCTACGGGACTAAATGATAGTTCACCCAAAAAGGAAAATTCTGTCATCGTTTTCTCACCCTCATGTTGTTCCAAACCTCTGTGACATTGAAGAATGCTTCCACTGTTTTTGTCCAAACAATGAAAGTCAATGCTGTTTTGGACCCCATTGAATTTCATTGCATAGATAAAAATCTTTTTTGGTGCTCTAATGAAGAAAGAAAGTCATGACATGAGGGTGAGTAAATGAAGACAGAACTCTCATGTTTTGGTTGAACTATCCCTTTAAGACAGCATTAACGCAAAGCTTCCACCTCATCAAGCGAAGCATGAGTGTGTACCTGTAGTGATGCAGTAGTATGTCTCATGTGGCGACACATGATGGATCCGGTGGTGCTTCCGTGGCAGCACTAGGTGGCAGTCCTGCAGTAGTGTGACCCAGCGTGGCAGGCCGAAGTAGGAGTGGGACCACTTGTGGATCTGATTAGTCATGGTTACAAAGACTGCCAACGCAAAAACAAAACATTCCCAGGGGTAGGACTCTGCAAGGGCATCTGAGAAAGAGAGATAGCGTAAGGGGGAGGTGGAGGGAGAGATAGAGGAAGAATGGCTAAAGGTGAATAGAGAGAGATAAAATTATATGCAAATGAATACAAAACGCCTTAAAGTGACATGCCCTAAACTTTTTAATTAATTAAGTACTAGCCTAACCTTTTAGGGTGTGAAACAACAATCAAATGGACCTTTCAGCTTTCTCAGCTCTATTGAGGAGATCATCAGCAACACAATGTTAGTGGAAAAGAAACCTTTTAATACAATAGAAATTCTGTCATCATTTACGAAACCAAAATGAGGGGAAGCCACGAATGGCAACGGGATGAATGCTGTCAAGCTCCAAAAACAAAAAAACAAAAGGACCATTAAGGTGGTCCATATGACATGTGAGCAATATTCCAAGTCTGTGAGAAACAAAACGTAATTTAGATTTCCTTTAATTGCATGGAAAAATAAATCACTCTGGACATTCCACTAAACTTCTCTTCCTGAAGAAAAGAAAGTCATTTAGGTTTGGAATAACATGAGCAGTAGTAAAGGATGACAATTTTAGTTTTTTTGGCTGAGTTGTTCCTGTAACCCATGCAGAGCAAAAATGGAACTGAGAACATTTTACCCCTTTCAAACCATATTCTCATTTGTCGATTTCCCGATTTTTAGGTATTTTAAGATGAATGTGGGACACACTGACGGCTCCAAGACAAAGAGCCGCACTCGGGTCACAATCATTGGTTCTAAAATAGTCACGCTGACTCACTCTCACAGCACACTGAAAAAGTGAGTGGATGTGTGTGTGTGTGTGTGTGTGTGTGTACCTGGTGGGTAAGAGAGGAATTTATAGGCCATGTGAGCCAGAGGCAGGATGGTGATCATGCAGTTGTCTCCATTAGTCTCTATGAAGTCATGCCGTGTGATAGCCGTCGGATCAATGTGGTGTTCCCGGAACGGGCGAATAAAAGCCTGAATGGAGAGAGAGAGGTAAAGAGAGATAGGGGAGTACAAGGAAGGGAGGTTAAGGTTCAATTGAAAAATGGGAAGGGGTGTCTAGGACTGTGATTTAGATCCATTACCCTGTGGTAATGAATGGGTACGTCTATGATAAAGACAGTGCCGGGTCAAACTAGAAGCTACTGTTGTATTACAGACTACAGAGACACTGAACAACTAAGAACACTGGATGTGCGTTTTAGGGTGGGAAATGAAAAAAATTAAAAGAGGAGTTTAAACTAAAATATTCATTGTAGAAACCAGATACATCTTCTGCTTCAAGTTTCCCCACTGATAATGAGCCATAAGCCCACAGAAAAAGTGTGCAGAACTCTTCAGAAACATCATTCACAAAGTTCTACACATTTGACACCCTTGCATGTTTTTTTTTATTAAATATTTGAGCTAATTTAATCTTCATTTAGCAAGCACTAAGAATAGGTCACAATCTTCGACTGCAACAACTGACTACTTGATAAGTTAGGTTGACTAGTTTATCTAGATTTATTTCATTAATATCGTTTTATATTTAATTAGCATGCTGTACTTTAGCTGTTGAAAAGTTTGCATTATAAAAATCTTCAGGAAAACTGTTCTTTAAATGTAGTCCCATTGAAGCACCACTGTTGCAGCCAAATGCATTTTTGAGCATTTTGCCAGAAGAGTTGGAATCTTAAGATGGCATGTCAAGTAAAAAAATAGTCCAACCTTTTTAAAAACCAAGTGCATTCTGTTCCATTTCAATGAACTCGTCTAACACAAGAATGTGCCTTGTGTAAAGTCTTAGAAAACATGTCCGAACAGAGTCAGGGGAACCCAATCAAGCCTCAATAATATTTATTATACAGTACTACTAGTTAAGAATTAGTCCACTAGTTGTTCAGGAAAACCATCGACTAGTCAATTTTGAAAATATGCACTTTTGCACATCAGTACTAATAAAAGTGTAGAACACCCTTTACCGTGTTTACATCCATTCCACAGATTTTCCACAAAAATCAGCATTGAAAATGCGGAGAAGCAGATTTCACCCGAGTCTGGTCAAAAGACAGGGTTGGGTGGGGTTAGATGTTGACTGATATACGCAAATTGGCGCGTTGGCGGTACTAGGGCCTAAATGAAAGATGACGCATGCGGCACGAGCTACATGTTACGGAGAGGAGAGATAACCTGGCATTAAACAGCACTTCCCCACGGCTCAGATCCAGCATCATGAAAAACCATAACCCAGCAGCACCTGTCACTCACGCCCAGGAGCGCTGCTTTAAAACGGGCGCCCGTCTGCGACCGCACGGGTGCTGCAAAATGAAAGTGAGTAAGAGAAAGGATCGTATATGCACAAAGGAAAATACAAGAATGAAGGTAATTTATTTTCCACATAAAAAGGAGGAATCGTTTGGAGCCACATTACCATAGCGTTTCAGAAACAGAGCGCGGGGGGAAAAATGTCATTATCGCGTGTTTGTGGGCTGAACTCAATCACACCTATATCTGAGAGAACGTGGCGACACTCTGCTGGAGCGGAGAAAACTATCTGTTGATATTTCGACAATTATGTTCCCTCCTGTTCTCCTCGTTTCCTTTCAGTCTCTCTGTGCGCGAGATTAAAAGAGCGCTAAGCCCCAGACAGCACACAGTGTGCATGCCGACTCACCGGCACGCTGCGGCAAACCTGTGCCTCGCCACCGCTAATCCCACACCGTTTAACGGCCTGCCTCGCCTCACTCGCCTTCTGCCTAATCACGACTCACATCTTCGGATTGCCCTAGCAACCCAGCCGAAGACCAGAGCCCGTCCTCCCCCACCCTTAACCTAGAGCACACATGAGAGATCCATTTCATTTCTCTTGCCTTTTTTCCTCCTCCCTACGCTCTTTGCTCTTAAGTGCCTGTTTAATCATGGTCATTAATGATTCTCCCTCAAGTTGGTGCTTCTTGTTTGAACATGTGGACAAAAAGCCATATATATCGGTCTGCTAAGTGCTGCCTTTAATCTGCTGGTTAAGGGTCTTAAAGCGCTGCGTTCTGGATGTCTGTAAATTCCCTTGCTTTTTTTGAAGTTCGATCACTCCCAGGTGGCGGATCCTAATTATCCTCGACAGCAGAAGGATCGGCGGTGGCCGCGGAGCCGAGTGGAAACCCCTTCACGGTGGGGAGGTGTGGACGAGCCGTTTTACAGCACAGACGGACAATGATGAAAGCGAGAGAACGCGGGGCCCTCTGCGGTATCCGGACGGGCCGTTCAGATGACCTGATCTCTGAAACCTGCTCTCGGCCTCAAAGTCTTGGCCATGTAGGACAACTCAGGGCCTCAATGACCAACATGTAAACACAGCCCTCTTTATAGAAGCAGGGCACTAGGCATGGGCAGTAGGGATGGGCGATACCACACTTTTAGGATTCGATACGATACCGATACTTTTTCTTGCATTTTCATCGATATCGATACCGATGCCGTTCATTTCTTATTGGCAATTTTTGTCAATAAAAATATTATTACATTTAAGACAAATCACAAGACAAATACAGACCATTTATAAAACATATTATGGTAAATACATAATACAATTTAAATAAAATAAATAACAAATATGAATGAAATAAATTAAATATGAACAAAAACATACACATTTTCACTTTTCTTATTTCTCAAAAAAAATGAAAAAAGACCAATCTTGGTATAAAAAGCTAAAAGGGGAAAAAACGAAACAAACAAACAAAAAAAATATCATAATGTTATGTTTCGAGCCTCTTTGTAGAAGTAAACATGTAACACTTCACTGAAGCAAAAACAAGACGTCATAAAGATCATAATAAACTAGGATTTACTTATCCTATAAACCTGCATAACAAAGACAGTTGTTCCCTGAGAAAATGAACTTAGAAAAATGAACTAGAAAACTGTCTGACACCACCACGCTTCGTTTTTTGTCTGCCATATTATACGCTTCTTTCCCTGCGGCTCCTGCTTTCGTGCTGGGCTGGTGGCCTTGGTTGGCTGTGTGTGTGTGTCGTTGTCGGCTGTGTCGCACAATGTCGCTCATTCGCTCGTCTCCTGTCGCGTGACATGGGCCAGCTCAATACACCGCCAGGTACAGCCAGGGGTGTCCCGGCACATAGTAATTTAGGGAAGTAATCTAAAACAGCTGAAAGTGATACATACAACCCCAATTATAATTTTTTAGTTTATCGATATTTTTTTAAGGAAATCGATGCCAAATGAGTAGCGCGAGTATATCGATCTATCGATACCACAGGATCGATACGTCCATCCCTAATGGGCAGTATGAGTCATGACCAAAATCATGATACTATAATGGACAATATTACACATTCTTCAATTATCAGTAAATATCTAATGGTACATGATAATTTCCGCTATTTTTACATTTAGATTAGCATTTTCATTATCATCTAACACTCACTTAAAGTTAATCTTTAAAAACACTAAAATAATTAAATAAAACTGTTAAAAGTAATCTTTAGCAAATCTCAATATGAATATCAATTTTTAATACAATACATTAAACTACCTTGTAATTTTTTTTACTTGATTTTAGTGTTTTATTTAGAGGCAACAATAAAGAATGTTAATATTCTATAGTAGACTATTTGCACAGTATAAAGCATCATACCACCCAGACCTAGAGGACACCATCTCTATGCAGCGCACATCAGCCAGAGAAAAATAGAAAAAAAATTGGTGTTACTCAAAGGACAGGCCTCAAACTGTGAACATTTCATGGTCACACTCTTTGTCAGGTGGAAACTGATCATTGCTAAACCTGTATACTTGTCATTTTCTTTTCACAGTAATCAAATTTAACACTGCATATTTTCAGGAAGTAGCCTAATAATTGGCACATGGGACCAGATTTAGCTTAGGTTAGCCATTTTTCCACTGCCAGTCTACTGCCCCCTTCCACATAATAGCACAATGACCCCTGTCAGCACAAAAACACATAAATGCTCCCAGATTCGTGGCCCCTACTTGTCCGACACAGAAAGCAAGTGTCGGCTGCTTTTTAATTGGACAGCGAGGGGGTGACCTTTTCTCTGATTGGGCAAGGAGAGTGCGACCGTACCATGCATTAATGCAACCCTCCTGAGTATCTCCAGCACCCTTTGGGGTTGAGAGTGGGTGGGGTTAAGATGTGGTGCTCCAGGAAAGCAGGAAGGGCTGAAATCCCCAGGGTGGAGATGGCATTTCACACTCGCCGTTTTTGAGCCTGGTAAACCACAACAGGCCAATAGAGCAAAAGCTGATATGAAAATTAAACAGGGTAATTTGTTAAAATCAAACAAGATACTACGCTTAGAGAACACACTGTGCATATGAGTGTGTGGGCAATGCATGTGTGCCAGAAACATGGTGCCATTGTACCTAAATGTGCCAACATACCTACACCCAATCACATTCATATGGCAGGGCAATATAGGGATAGTTATGCCATACATACATCTGAAGTTCTGATCTATGCATAGGCCTTGGTTCTTACCTTCCCAATTATTGGGATGTCCACTGAACCCCATGTATCAGCTCCCCAATGTACCATTCCAGACGCAAAGTCTGCCGTCACAATACCAGTCACTTTGAGTGGAAGAAAGAAAGAAAGAAAGAAAGGGGTTGAATTTAGTGAGTACTGAAATAAAGGCGACCATGACATCAAACCAATGGGTTTCTCTACAGATATTGACAGCAGAACTTTATTAGAAAACAAAAGGAAACACATGAACAGAAAGGTCACAAAGAATGCAAGACTTACCGATGCCAAAGATGATTTTGTAGATGTGCACCGTGGAGAAGTTGAGGAGGAGGAAGGAGAGGTTTACAATGAAGAGCGAGAGGCACAGAATCACACAGATCCACTCCTGTAGCCGCTTTCCTACAGGGTAACAAACAAAAGTACATGTTTTTTTTATTAGTACTAAACAAAATAAAGGGACAAAATGTATGTGATATGGATAAATCGAGTTTGATTTTATTTCAACAACATAGGTAGGATAACTAGGAATTTGGAGTCTGATAATAATTTGTCTTTCATTTTATTTATTGGCTTAAATAGGTTTGCCTAATTTACTTATTGGACTAATACCAACAGCACTAAATCATAAAAAAGTATTCAATGAATGAAGTAGTCAAAAGATTTATAAAAAAGTTTTTAAAAAAAGGAGTATGAGATACAACAAAGGTAAAAAGAACCTTCTGAAATAGTTGGTCAAGTAGTCGACCATAATGACCCATCCCATCAGGAATTAAGGGCAAAAAAAGACACTAAAAAGAAAGATAACTCTCTTGAATGTTATTAATTCTCCTTAGTAACAGTATATTTAACTAGTGTCCACTGTGAGGTCACAGACGGCAGCGAACCGACATCTCTCAAAAGCAGAAAAGGTCATTGGGGTCAGCGGACAGGAGACAAGCCGAACGTGTGTAACCGTGTGTGTGTGTCCAATTATCTTGCATGCTCAGGAGTAATCGATTAGACTAGGACAAGTTGTAGGCAGAGGCGAGGGTCAGGATCTCTTGCGATGGTGCGTTTGCCTGACACAGCTAAACGTCCCAGGTCAGGGCAGAGGGCACCGATGAAGGGGCCACAGCGGGCACTGTTCGGACCACCATGACAGCGGCGTGGCACGGCGGGCGGCCGTGGAGGATGATTAAAGTGCTAATGCATTATTCACAACAGAGTAGAGAATTAGTCTATATGGACACTGGGCACATCTACATGTCCCCATCTTTCCACAGCCTACATTCAATCTCCATTTTTAAAAGCTTGCATATTCAGTATCTAACTGCATTCTACCACATCTGAGTCTTTCGTTCTCTTACTGTGACTCTTTCTTCTCGTTCCATCGCTCTCTCCTTCGCTCTCCTGTTGGGCGGATGTGGGCACGAAGAGGCGCAGTGGACTCAGCTCTTTTGAAAATTTAATGCCATTAGAGGAGCCGTCCTGAGTGGATTGGGAACGTGAGGAGGTTGAGAAGAAGATATTGATGACAGCTATTTATAGCACCTCAGTGGGCCAGCCAACACCGTGTGCCTGAACGGCGGACCACAGTTCTTATAATGCACTCGCAAGCCTGCGTTATATCTTGCACAGTTATGAGAGCACCAACCTATGGCATCCTTAACAGAACAGATTGTGTCCCACAATGCACCCTGTGATCAATCCAGGTTTTGGTGCAGACTTCAGTGCAATTGACTGTAAAGTTGATTGCTGGATTAGTTTGAAAGCTGTCGGTTGCACACCATGAAACCAAATGCTGGGACTAAAATGAAATAAAATGAACGATTGTACAGTCTGTGGCTGAAGTGAATGCCATGGATTACATATATTATGCTTTGTTGCCCTCTAAAAGTTTTGTAATGGGACAAGTTTTTGCATGTTTTCGTGCAGACAATGCAATACAATGTTTTGTTTTGCAGTTATTTAATAAATACCTTTGGGTACACTTTACAATAACATAGCTACAAATCGTTTACATCTGGTCTCATCAATAAACAACCATTTTTACATCATTAATCTATGTTAGTCTATGAGTACTATTATTAGCTCATGTTCATTCACAATAGATACAGAGGTCTTCAACCCTGCTCCTGGAGACCCACTGTTCTGCAAAGTTTATATCCAACCTGCTTCAGCAGACCTGAATTTCACACCAATGGACTTTTCAAGTGATCCTAAAGAGTAGGGTCGGGAAATGAAAATCGATTCCAATTCGGGAATCGGATACTTCAGGTCAGGAATCAGCAAATTTTAATTCCGCTTATCGATTCCTGTGTGCACATTTTAATGTTGTTTTAACCCATTCAAGCGCAAGTAGAAGCGAAAGAGAACTCAATTCGACACTCGCATTATTTCATGATACATTCCATTCCACATTAACTAATGTTAACAAATTAAACCTCATTGTAAATAGAAGCAGTTGTAAGACTATTGTTATATCAGCTTCACAGGCTGTTTCACATTCATTCAACATTCAATCAATCAATCAAATCAACATTCAATGAATCCAAAATACAATAAACAAACATTCAACTTAATTTTATATATGCGTAACTATGAAAGATTCTTTAATTGTACTTGTTAAAACCGTGAAAGTTTTTTCTGGGTCCATCTTAAAAAGTCCTTCAAAGTTAGTCCTGATAAAAATGTATGTTTTACAGTCAAGGGACTAAATCTCATTTGAAGCTACAACTGAGGTAAAATATGATTTCTTTTACTGTGGCGTGGTAGATTCAGTGGCATGGTCATTTTACTGTACAAACGTATTGTGACCAATATACTGTAACACTCTAAATAGAGGAAGACAATAAAACTCACGTTCCGAGTCATGTCCATGTACAGTACCAAGAACGTAAAATTAACAAAAGGCATCCATTTCAATATACCAATGAATATACGTAATAAGAAAACAGATGATCCAGGGTCATCATCCAGATGATACTTAATTGTACTTCATTTCTGATGGCACAATGGATTGTGTAGTTGGACTAAATGTGGAAGCTCAACAGGAAGCGGAAGGATGAGGGAGTCCAGGTGCAGCACATCCAGGTGTGTGACCGTGAGAGATCAAAACTAGATATTGTGCCACTTTCTTTGCAATATCACAGCAGCCTCGGATGTGGAGTCGAGTTCTGAATGAGGTTTGCATCCAAACGCTGTAACAGTAATGATTTTTGTAGAGGAACAATATTACAGCTCTTATTACGGAATATAACGGAAAGGAAAAGTGGGAAAATATCTACCGCTGATCAACACTTCACATGACACCATCTCCAAAATTATTCAGAGACAGAAACCTGCAAAAAAAAAAAAAAAAAACATTTACCCACCCCAGCACTTGCGTCCTCTCTTAACTGCCTTTTTTCTTTCTCACACACGGACATGTGCATACACACACTCTCGCAGCAGTGGGGCCGCTGTCAGGTGATCAGCGTCAGTCCTTGGATCCTCCTGCTCCCCGGTGAGGGCAGAATCTAGGCCAGGCCTCGACAGAGCCGCCGTCGCCGTACGCAGCCAGGAACACCGTCCCCCTGTCCACGGGACCTGAGCGGTGCGCTCATTAATACAGTCCTGACAACAACGTGCTCCCCTGCAACCCCCTGCACCATCGCTCACACCCGCAGCCCCCTTTCCTGCTCGCTGGCGTGGGGAATTAACCTGGGAGGGGCGGGGGAGGGTAGGGGGTGCTAATAGGCTGAAATTAATCAACGACGCCTGATTCGACGCAGAGGGGCGGCTGGAGTGCCAAACAACGTCCGTGAATGCTAATGGTGTTCTAGCTCTCTCACTCTGTCAAAATGTGCGCAAGTTTCTGCGGCAGGTTGTAATATTCCGTCGTAAATCCTCGAGTTTCACAGAGTTTCACATGCAAGCGGTTACATAGCTTAAGGTGAAAACCGTAGTGAATCTTTCCTGTGTAGGCCATTTTGTTCAACGTCACACTTCTGTAAATTTAAAAAATGCTGATTAAAAGGGATCGTTCACCAAAATATGATTTTTTACTCACTCTCGTGTCGGTCTAAAAACCTGTATGATTTTCTTTCTTGTAATGACATTGAGTGAAAGGGACTGTCAAGCTCCAAAAACAACCATTCAAGTATCATAAAAGTCATAAAATAATGTGCATGTCTTCTGAAGAAATATAATAGCTTTGTGTGATGAACAGACCAAAATTTAAGTCGTTACCCACTAAAAATATCAACATCTGTGCTAGTTCATAAAAGTAGTAAATGAATCAGCAGATTTTGTTTTCAGTCAGATCTTTTCAATGAATCAGCTGATCCAGTTCAAAAACCTGGGCTAAATCCGAAATCGCCCCCTAAACCCTCATTCACTACTCCCTACGTCCATTAATACAGTTCACTTGAAGGAGTGAGCGAAAACAAGTGAGTGAATTCGGACAGCTGTTGTTATTGTGGGAGTGCTCTCAATAACATCCACTATAGTTTCGGCACCACTATAAATGGCTGTCCCCTCAAATAATGCCCTATTTGAGGGTATAGGGGGCGATTTCAGATTCAGCCCTGGTCTATATGATTCGTTCTGGAATCACTGATTCGGATCTCGAGTTTTAATAATCAATAATATGGTTGCAGCAGCAAGATCATCAGTAAATAACTAAAAGTTCACACCAACATAAAGTGCACAAGTCATTTAAGATCACTTTTATGATAGCTTTGAATCATTTTGAAGCTTAATATAGAAAGGCATTTCTAATATTTTTTTAAATATTTGACGCTAAATAACCACCCCATTAAAAAAAGAACAACCAGTGACATTATTGAAAACGTCCTTCCGAAAGTCAAACCAGTTTTGCAAAGATATGAGGGTTAGCAAATGACATTTTCATTTTTGAATGAACTAATCCTGTAATAAATGAGGATAGAAAACTTTTACAGGCTGATGGGACGTCTGATAGGGCGCTAAGGTCCCGTGCTGAGACGGGGTGAGTGCAGATGAAAAGGGCTGGGGTGCGGAGGGCGTGGTGGCGGTTTATCACCTGTCACGCTAGCAGAAGTCAGCGAGTGTGAACAGTATGTGTTGTTTGTGCTTTGGAGAGATGGGTGTTTTTTCTGTCTCTATCCTCGATGAACAAAGGGCTCTTTTCTTCGGCGGGCTCTCCTGATGGGGCTGCGGTGGTGCGCGGGCCCCTCTGTTCTCAGCGCAGCCGCGCCACTGAAAGAACGGCTCTCACCTCCTTCGGAGAGGCAGACAAAAAGCAACTCTCAGACTCGGAATAGCAGCCTTTCAGAGGGCCGGCCACGCCACAAAGTCCTGCCAACATGCCATGACTGAGCCATTCTCTACCCCACTTCACCTCCCCCCTAACAATGCCAAGGGCATCTACATGTGGGCAAAAAGGAAACGGTATTGAT